CTCCAGGACCCTCTCTGCTCTAAGGGTGCAGTCCTGGAGGGCAAGCCCTGCTTAGCTCCCAGCCATTTCTCTCCTTTGCTTTCAGTTCTTGTATGAGCTCTTCTCTTTTCTGGAACTTTGTACCTACTCCGCTCCCTCCTGCTCCTCTGTTTTTCCTAATGTATTTCATTGTTGAGAATATGCACAGCGAAGCCCACTCCAATTTGTCAGTCTCTGCGTGCACAGTCTAATGACCGCTGTGATGTTCTTTCAGCTATGCGATCCTCCTCCCCCTCCCCTGAGTTTGCCTCCCTCATTAACATAAACTCACTGCCCTTTTGGGTTGCTCTTGTCACTTGGATCCCATCTGCCATATTTTTATGTGAATAGTGCATGTGTTAAATGCTTTTTTGCACGTTGATTTCCTGTGTGCATCGTTGTGTTGTATGTGCTGTGTGTGGACATGTTACATGTGATGGTATGGTAGTCTTAGAGAGCATAATGCTCAAGGAAGATTCTTCACTGTTAAGCTAGACTGCTGTTCCATTTTAAGAAGGCTCCAGGGAAAATTTTCACTGTAAAGTTTAAAGGTAATCTCAGGGCAGTGGTTTTACTTTTAGTCCAGCCTCTGACTCTAGAATTGGAAATTCTGTTCTGTGTTTTCCCCCTTTTGATCAGAATTCCTCAGAGTCTTGGATCATAATGTTTGTTGCGTAATGCTCTCAGTGTCGGTAACTTTGCCTACAGGAGCCAGCTCCATTCTACAAGGTTGAGTGTCTGCACCCTTGCAGCACGCTGCTTTCTGAGTGAGCCTAGAATACTCTGCCTGCCCGTCTGGTGTTGGTCAACTACGAAGCCCTTAAGCTTTTGGACGGCGTTGTGCTCTCTCTGCCTCCCTGCTGTCCGTCAGAATGTCTGCCTGTCACACACAGTTGCTGTTGTTGTGCTGTTGAGATGGTTCCAACTCATACTGACCATGTATAGAGTTTCCAAGGAGCAGCTGATGGGTTTGAATCGCTGTCCTGTGGTTAGCAGTTGAGGGCTTACCTTACAGCGCCGCACCAGGACTTCATATAGTTAGTACCCAGCAAATATCTGTTATGTTTTGCTAGAAAACTTTTTGGTTATAAAGGATCCGTTTAGCATCCTAAAGCATGGTGCGCTGGGGTCGGAGTGGAAGACTCCATGGGTGCTGAACAAAAGTCTGAAGGAGGGCCCAGTGTGGAATGCTTTAAAGTGAGGAAAAGGCAGACTGTTTCAGCAGCGGATTGGAGCATCGGGTTATTTTTCCCCTAAAGTTCTTGACTGAACAGTGTACGTTGTTGTTCAGTCATGCTGAGTCGGTTCTGACTCACCAGACAACAGGGCGGAACACTGCCCGGTCCTGCGCTGCCCTCATGATTGTTCAGGAAACTTCTAGGAGGACTGAGAATGAAACGGACAACACAAGTGAAGCCCTGCTAGCCTGAATGGATCTCCATGTCATCTCGGGAGGTACGGGCCCTTCCCCAAATGGGAAGTAAGTAAGAGGGCTTGTGTGACTGTCCAAACCTTTCAGCTTCCACACACCAGGAAAGCTGGGTTTTCTGTGGCTGTTGTGGCATTTACACAGCATACAATTCTCACACCGTTCTGGAGGTCCGCAGTCCTACATGGGCCCACGAGGGAGCAGCCATTTCCAGCTTCTGTGGTCCGCCCCCATTCCTTGAACCATGACCTGCTATCTCCATCTTGAAAGCCATCTAGCGCTTCTCTGACCAGTCTCTGCAGTGCGCCCTCTGCTGGCCACAGCTGGGAAGGGGTTTCAACGTTATGAGACTCCTGTTAATTAGAGCTGGCCCACCTGGTGAATCCCGGGTCCTTGTCCTTTTCAAGGTCTGTACCTTTAATCACTTTGAGGACTAAGGTGCACCTGACTCCAAGCCTCATCTGCATGTGAAAGCTGGACAGCGAATAAGGAAAAGTAAAGAATTGATGCCTTTGAGGTGTTGGCTCAGACTGTATCCTGGATAGTCAAGACTGAGCAAATCTGCCCTGGAAGCAGGTTAGCCAGAATACTCCTTAGAAGTGATGAGGATGAGGCGTTGTCGCTCATAAGATGGACATGTCATCAGGGGGGGACTGATCCCTAGAGAAGGCACGTAGACAGTCAACAAGATCCTCAGTGAGGGGGGCTGCCACAGTGGGCCCACACATAGCCACGACGGTGAGCCGCGTGGGACCCCGTGACCTGGAACGTGAAGACACCCAGCAGGAACAGCCACACAGGAGTGGCCGTCATCGCCATTGCAAAGCCCTTTTTGCTTTGACAGGTCACACTCACAGGTTCTGGGTCATCATTCTACCTACTGCACCTCTTAGGGGACAAGGAAGCTTCTGTTTACTAAGAGGCCTCATCAGTCCTCTGTGGGCGAACACCCATTGGCGTAATGGACAAAGGCTATGGACGGCAGCGCCCGCAGAGGAGTAAGGCAAGCAGGAAAGAAGACCTGACTTGGGATCAATGTCACTGACAACCTGAGAAGTCCACCAACCTCGAGGCCACTTTTCTCCTGTCCCATGAGCGTGGGTGTGGGGTCTGTCCTGCATGTCAGTGTGGCAGGCTGCGTTGGAAGCCCATGTAGATGCTTCCTGTCCATTCCAGGAATTGATCCTAAATTAGAAGTTGTGTGCAGCTGTTTGTCTGGAGGGATGTTCACACCTAGTTTTCTAATCAGGAATCACACAGTGTTGATTGAACAAATACATACCGTACGACAGCATGGCATTAGACATGCTGTAGTCCAGGGGGACAGCCCAGGCCAGAGAGGAGCTAGCTGCTGCTTATCCAACTATTACAATGAAAAAAACAAACAAACCATTTTTGGGAAAAAATTGTAGATTTATAGGAAGCTGCAAATGGAGAGGCACATCTCATGTACACTCCCCTCCTTTGTTTTTGCTTTGTAATTGATACGATCTGTATGTATGTAAAGTAAATGAATAAACTTGTAATTGACATGGTCTGTGTGTATGTAAAGTAAATGAATAAACTTGTAATTGACATGGTCTATTTGTATGTAAAGTAAATGAATAAACTTGTAATTGACATGGTCTGTGTTTATGTAAAGTAAATGAATAAACTTGTAATTGACATGGTCTATGTGTATGTAAAGTAAATGAATAAACTTGTAATTGACGTGGTCTATAT